CATGACAGAAGCTCCAATCGAGCTAATATTCTGAGTCGAGACTCCTTACCTATATAAGACAAAAGTCACACCCTGTCATATCAGTTTTCGACGGGATTTCCAGTCGACGAAGCGAAGATTCTTGATCTTCTCATAAATGCCCTTTCCATCATCTTGTCCAGACTAGCTATACGAGAGTAGAAGAGTTCGAAATGAAGTAAAAATCGAGGGTAGAAATGCATGATCACGCCAATACTCGGCGGGGGTACTGATGAGCTTGCCGGAGACACTGCAGGACACCACTACGTTGTCCACTTTGAAGAGATGAGCCCTCATATTTTCACTCATTCGCCCCTTGGGCTCTTTCAAACACAGGTAAACGGGACTGATAGTTTTGAAGAACTGCAGCAATTAACTTCCTAACTTTATTGCACGATGTTTTACCCCGTTTTTTCTTCGGGAACATGATGCAAAAAGGTGATGATTCGAAATGTGTTCAAACTAAATTTGAAGCTCATTTATTAGTTGGCGGCAGAACAACACTTTTCATTTTTCAGACATGATTTCCACTAAAAAGCTTTTTGTTTGTATATATATATATATATATATAGATTTTTATATTGGGAAGCCGGATTATACCATGTTCTCGAAGAAAAGTTCGACTAAAACACGGTGTAACTAGGACTGAGAAAAGGATCCAAAACAACTGCTTCTCATTCGAGCGTTTACTTATGCGCCAATTCAGGCGTTTTAATGAATCAGAATTTAAAGAAAATTAACTAATGAATCATTAGCTTTCGTTGTTGGCGCCGTTTCCACGAATACTCGCGCGTTTATTGAAAGCGCGTCGAAAAAACGCTTTTTTGACTTATTCTACGCGCTGGAGCATGCTGACTTCAATTTTAATATTTGTAGTTAAAAACATAGCCTAATTTCTTTAAATTTCGCTCTATATGATACGCTAGATATTATGGCGTGTAAATGAGAGTGTTGCTATGGACCATACGAATGATTTTTACTAAAAGAGTGGAAAATTTCAAACAAAAAAGGTATCCGTCAAACTTTCGCGAACGCTTTTTCATATTATTTGTAGTTTAAAAATAAATATAACATCTTATAAAACTGTGCGTTTCAAGTGTGACTTTTTTTCATATGCTACAGATACGTCGTGACATTTTCTACAAAAACCTAGTGAGTGTTTTCTTATAAAATGTATAAGTGGTCAGTTACACGAAAAACACTAAAGAGCTTTGAAATAGTCAACTTTCTGAAGTATTTTCAGCATATTCAGACGTCTTTTTCAAACACTTACACAGTTGAAAAGATACACTAGAATAAGTTTTCTGATGTTGTAAGCATAACTGTCATAAATTTATTATTTTTTATTTATTATCTAATGGAGATAATAAATTAAAAAATAAATAAACATATATCGTGTACTTCTCTAGATGAAACTGTCTCAACTAAAGAAACGTGTTCAAAAAATTAAAAAAGAGAACCGCCATCAAAAACATGAAATGAAATGTGTAACATTAGTCATGGATCCCATAAAAAAAAATGATGTGAGTTTTTAATAAAAACATGATACACAACCCACTGTATAAACCATATATCAGCAAGAGAAAGAATAAGATTGGAGGAAAAGGAAGGATCTAACAATGTATACACAGCTTCTCTTTTTTTTATTAACATAATTTCCAATACAATGTCAATAATCCCGGAATATGATCATTTAAATACATTTTCGAATAAATATTCTTTAGCACTACCTAAAAATTTGTATAAATCGTCTGATTTAATATCTTCACGAAATCTTCTAATTTTTTAAATATATCTGAAATCCTTGCCTAATGTCGTATCAAGTAATTATCCCACCATTGAATAACACTACTTATATCAAATTCATTAATTTCAGCAGCTAATGTACGTTTGTTCATTTCATCACATTGATCTAATAGAAAACATTTGACAAGATGCATTATCTCATCAATATACGAACATTTAATTAGAATTGGATTTTCATCAGGATTTTCTTGAATTCTGTTAAAACAAATTTTGATGGATTCGAAATTGTTCCAGAGTATTTACATTTTTCTGCGTTAACTGCAGATGACATCGAATCGATAAGATAATATTCGTTCGATTAATTGAAAATAAGAAATAAATTTTACTACTTTAAGAGAGAGAAAACAAGAGATAGCAGCGGCTCATAACCGAATGCAATCTGCTGACTGTGATAATACTAGTAAAGGCATACAATGCCACAAGTTGTTATGGAACATGATCTCTACATCCATCATCGCCGCTTTTTCGCGTAATCTTACATGTCTTACATGTTACTCGATCGCATCTTTTCTAAAAATTTTTAGTATTTACATTATCGAATAAAGCAGACTAGAGCCATACAGAGTAACTCTAGGGATAGGGAAGGACGCCGAGTGTTACTCTATTAGAAAAAATGGAAGATTTGAATGAAAAGAAAATTGAAGTAAAAGCACCAAGGACTATAACTAAACACTCTCACGATTCTTCGACTAACATAGATATTCTTTTAAATTCGGAGCGCAAAGCTATGAAGGACTGAAACTTAGCACGCATTTCAAATTTTCAATTCTCTCATCTTGATTCCAATAATAACATTCAGCAAAAGACTTCTTCTGTTTGGACCTAAGAAGTCTAGAAGAAAATTAATTTACTTGCAACTTATTATATTTGCTTGTCGGATGTCACGATGAATATAACTGTTTGCATGAGCTAAACGTAATTGTTCATATAGGTCATTAAAACGTTGTTTTTTATTAGCAATTGATAATCCATAAATTTTTACAGGTTCACCAACCGGCGTAAATAATAAATATGTGTTTCCATTTTTCCATTTATGTAAAACCTTCTAATTTTGATTTATTAACAATATTAATAAGTTCATATTCTTTTTCAAGATTAAATCTTGTAATTTTTAACGCTTTATATACTTTATCATTTTCATTTATTTGGGTTTTAAAAACAAGACTATGACTACCACGTCCCAAAATAGAACGATAACTAATTGCATTTAATTCCACATTAAATTCAAAGTCTACCCTACAAAAAGATATTTTATTGGCACTGGTTGTGCACGGGTGCACACCGGTGCCAAATAATTCTTTTTCTGGGCACCGATGCGCATCGGTGCCGACCATTTTATTTTGTCAATTTGTCTATATTAACCCCCAGTCTACTTCCAAGTCTACTAATTAAATTGATTAAATAAATTATCAGTGCGGTACTGTTTTTTACCGGTGCGGCACTCTTTCGGCAGAAATATATCGGCACTGGTGCTCACGAGTGCCAATCGGCACTTGCTGGGCACGGGTACGCATCGGTGCCAGCCAGTGACAGTGACCGATGGCATGCCATGCGCACCGGTTTGACAGTGTCGCACTGGAATTTTTTTTATAGGGTAATCGGTTATAAGTTTGATTGTTTAAATGAATTATTGTCCATAATATCTTATTTAAATCATCAGCTATTGATAGTTGGTAAATTTCAAATTGTGTTTCAAATTCAAATGGATCATCTATATTTGATTTAACTGAACCACGAATTACTATGCCTATTTCAAAATTTGTTAATAAACCATAAATTACTTGTCTATCAGGTGTAAATTGCAATATTGTATGGAGATACTCACATGTTTGACCAATATCAAGTTTAGTTAATATTGGATGTTGTAATGTTTTCTTCTTAATTTCGATGATAGTAATAATATTAAATGGCAGCAGAGACGATCCCGGTCTATTAGGGCGAGAGCTCACACCAAAGAGTAAAAAACTAGAGTCGTACTTACCAACTATTCAATGTAAAGACAATGAAAAAGTCTCACATGTATTGAAACAAAAGTTGAATGTTACAATATAACGAAAAAATAACAAGGAATAGTAAAACAACAATGAACTGAATGAATATCAGGGGTATATATCTATATCTAACAGTGGGAAAGAGAATTAACAGACTGAGAGAAAAGAATGGATAACAGTGATATATACATATAACAGAGAGACAAGGAAGGACAACGGCTAACTCGAGTGTAGAATGTAGAATGAAGTTAGCGATGACTATGGCGATAGTCGTTGCTAACAAATATATCTGTTATCATTATTATGATAATACGATAAAGTTAAACTCGATCGTTTTTTATTGAATGAAGCAGAGAATATTGGATTTTTGTCACTAGTCAATAATAAACTTTTAATTCCATATTTCTTACGACTGAAACCGTTGTTAGATCTCCATGTGTCTAAGTTATTGTTGTATATGGCTTTTTGTGTCTGCTGTACCTGCTAACAGCCTTTCCAGAGAAAATGGATTTTGAAAAGTTTTCTGGAATACCACATTGTAGAAACGTGGATTTTTGGAAAGTGCTTAGACAGAATTCAGCATCAACTAAAATTTCTAAATTCAAAATTCAGCTCAGTTGAGCAAAATACGGCTGAATTATTCGCTACTCACTTACTCGATTTGGCGCCAAACGCGTCTGTCAAAATCAGAATGCGATAACTTAGGAAGGAAAAGAAATGTAGCTAAGAGCATACGAAACTTTTATCATCGCGATGCGGGGAATCTTTCTATCGCAAAATTTTGGCCTTAACTCTAATCCAGAATGAGTTGAAGCGTTTGGCGCGAAGGAAAGAGCGGTTTTTCGGTCATCTTAAAAAATCAAAAATTTTGCCTACCAGAAGTGGGGAATAACCAAAAGTCGACAGCACTTTTCGTTCCCGAATTATTCGAAAAATGATCGAGTGCACAATTACATTGAACAGACGGTACATACGTACGCATAAGGCGATGAGGGATTATCGACCACGCTAGTGGTCGATAACCTGTGTTTCCATGCATTTCTGAAGTGACCGGTGATTAGAGAAGTATCAGAACTTCGGGAAAAACGATCGAAACTCCCCAACCTAGCGCCTAGCAAAAATGAACTTTTGCTTAGATCTTATTTGTACAGGAAATTTTTAGACTATCTGTGGAAAAAAATCGATAGATTCCTGTGTAAAAATGTTGAGCTATAAACTGGTTTTTCTGAGATCCTCTGCAAAACTGCGTTCAGAATAGTTTTCAAAAACCAGTTTTGCATATAAAAGCGTAGTTCAAACTGCGATTACTGAAAACAGCTAGCCTCCATCTCTTATTGTTTTTGAGATATTCATGCCTTACTTTTAACACACAGCAGATATATTTATTTTAGAAAACGAAAAGAGTTTACTGTTTTAAACTCACCCTCGAAGCGAGCCTGAAATGAATGATCCATCTTTATTGCATTCTGTTCCCAAAAAGAAAACCGGGTAAAACATAATAAAATCACTGTTGTAACTACTTTAAGAAACACTTTGTTTTAAGCTATTCTTTCGCATCAAGGGTTTTTAGTTTTCATTCTTTTTCTATTCAGAAATTGCTACGTAAGAATTGATCGGCGTTAAGATCTTGAACTCTCTTTTCATCCGTGCATGTCTGTGAGATATGCTTCTGGTTTTCGGATAAAGCTTATCAAGTCACGGTATTTAAGCTAATTAATTTACTAGTACTTTTAATGTAAGCCTGTAAGGCAGAATTCATTTCCTTCCATCGTCCCAAATATAATATAAAAACGGACGTAGAACTCTACAGATGATAGAGATGCAGTTCTTGTGTGAACAGACTAAGTTCTAAGGAAAAAAGGTGAAGTTTCTGTGAAAATAGACTGCATTTTGATGGAAGAGACTAAGTTATAAACTAAGTTTCGACTAAGTTCCCATCGAAACTTAGTTTATTCTCAAAAGAACTTCATCTCTTTTCATCAAAATGCAGTCTATTTTCACAGAAACTTCACCTTTTTTCCTTAGAGCTTGTGTCTGTTCACACAAGAACTTGCGATAAAGAGGGATCATTCACTTCAGGCTTTGACAGGCTTCATTCACTTTCGAAGTAGTTAACCTTACATTGAAGAAGTCTAAAAAACAGATATGAACCGTAAAAGGCTCTAACATAAAGAAACGACTGCCTTATATTAAACAAGCTGTTTTCCCAACTTAGTGTACTCTCAAAAGAACTTGATCTCTTTCCATCAGAACGTAGTCTATTCTCACAAGAGCTTCATGTTTTTCCATCAAAACTTAGTCTATCTTCAAAAGAATTTCATCTCTTTTCGTCGAAACTTGGTCTGTCTTTCCAAGAACTTCATCGGTTTCCGTCAAAATTTAGTCTAGCCTTCAAAGAGGGATACTGTGATATGACAGGGTGTGACTTTTGTCATATATAGGTAAGGAGTCTCGACTCAGAATATTAGCTCGATTGGAGCTTCTGTCATA